ATACCTAACTCTATAAAAAAATTGCAATAGATTTGGATATTTTCGTTTTAACAGAATTTATATGTTGTTTCCACGACAGTTTATCGTCAATGATGACACCCAAGAATTTCACCTCATTAACTCTACAAATCATTGAATCTTCAATTTGAAATGGAACATCAATAGTTTTATTTCTATTACTAAATATCATGTAATTTGTTTTATCCAAATTTAAAGATAATTTGTTTAGTCTAAACCATTTCTGAATTTTAACAAACTCCGTCATCATTGACTCCAATAACTGTTCAATATTTTTACCAGAACAAAAAATGTTGTGTCATCAGCAAAAAGAACACATTTAAGGAGGCCAGACACCTTGACCAAATCATTTACATACAAAATGAACAACTTTGGGCCAAGTACAGATCCTTGAGGAACTCCACAAGTAATAGTACAGTGATCCGATTTCACATCATTCATCTGTACAAACTGTCTCCTGTTTTTCAAGTAACTACACACCCATTGTAAAGCTAAACCTCTGATACCATATTAGTATAATTTATCAAAAAGAATATTATGGTCAACAGTGTCAAATGCCTTTTTCAAGTCAACAAACACACTTACACAATATTGTTTACGGTCAACCGCAGTAGTTACTTGTTCCATAAAGTCCATAAGCGCCATAGATGTTGAATTTTTTGTTCTAAAACCATATTGATTATTAGTTAGAATATTTTGTTTTTCAATAAATTGGTCCAGTCTGTTACTGAATAGTTTCTCCAAGATTTTAGAAAACTGTGGTAACAAGGATATCGGTCTGTAGTTATTAAACACACATTTGTCACCATTTTTAAAAAGAGGAAATACTTTAGCCACCTTCATTCTGTCTGGAAATACTCCCGTTGTAAAGGACAAATTACATATATGTGTAAACGGTTCAATTACATGACCCATTATGTTCTTTACGAATGTCATGTCCATATCCATCCAATCCTTAGAGTTTTTGTTTACAAATTTATTGACTACATTCATTATTTCATCTTTATCAGTTCCCTTCAGGAACATACTGTCCAGATAATCATCAATTAAATAGTTCCCATAATTATTCATCTTTGGTATCGTTGTTGCAAGACTAGTTCCAACATTCACAAAGTATTGATTAAATCCATTAACAATTACATTTTCATCATATATTGTCTCATTATTTATTGTACAGTTCTGTGAAATGCCTGTTTTTCCTATATTTTTTTGTAGAACACTATTCATGACCCGCCATGTTGCCCTCGTATCCCCATTACTTTTATTCAATAAGTCACTATAATATTCTTTCTTATGTTTTCTTATAATCCCGACTAATTTGTTTTTATATTTCTTACATTTATCTTCTGCATCTTGTGTTCTGCATTTCAAGAAACATAAATACAAACAGTTTTTCTTCCTACAAGCATTTCTCAGTCCATTTGTCATCCACTGCTGGTCAACAACATTCTTCTTGGTGTAATTATTTAGTACACAATTTTTTTTATATAAAGCATCCAAGATATTCATAAACACATCATAAGATTTGTTTACTTCATCAACATAGACACTATCCCAGTTTTGTACAGTTAAATCATTTTTCAAATTTTCCAAAGCTTGCTTGGATGTATTTATTATTTTTTTCTTTTTAGGAAATGTTTTTGTGCTTATTTGATACTTACTATAAATTGTAAAAACCGGTAAATGATCACTAAGATCATTCATCAAAATACCCCCAATCACATCCCCATTTGTTGTATTTGTAAAAATATTATCAATTATTGTTGCACTATGAGTCGTGATTCTTGTTGGCTTCGAGATTAATGGGTAAAGATTTAAAGTTTGCATTGAGTCTATAAATGTACTGATGTTATTAGAATCTGTTTTTTTTCCCCAAATCAATATTAAAGTCACCACATAAAAACATTGTTTTATTACAGCTCTTATCTAATATTTCAATAATTTTATCTGTGAATGACTCAATATTCGATCCAGGTGGTCGGTATACACAACTTATTATGATATTTCTGTCATTTTTATTTAAAATTTCTATTGTTATCATCTCAATTGAGTTCTCATCAGTTGTTGACATTTCCCTGTTTAATTTACATTTTATTGCACTATTGATGAATAAAGCCACACCACCACCTCTTTTATTATTTCTATTTATATTATATAATTCGTACCCATCAATTTGGGCATTAATAATATTTTCGTCATTTAACCACGTCTCAGACAATGCAATTATTGTAAATGTTCTATTTAATTGTTTTAAATAATCTGTTATCTTGGAAATATTTGCATTTATACTCCTACAATTGAAATGAATTATAGAAAAACCAGGCTTTGTCAAACTGATATCATTAAATTGTTTTTCACTATAATATTCACAATCCTCTATTTTCAGATGAAAACCTGGATCAATCAAATCAACAACGTTATATATTTTCGGTTCTTAGTCAGCATAAGCTGTCATAGTTAAAACATCCGTTCACCAGACTAATGTTTTAACAATTATGTATTAAATATAATTTTGATGATTTGAAAGTTACCATTTCATTGGATTATTTGAATTTTTCCAAGTCCTTTATTTCCTTTATTATTTTAGGTTGTGATTCTTCTTGTACTTTTATCCAAACGTGTCCATTTCTTGTCCATGTCGATATTATACTTTTTAGTTTTTTAACAACCTCGCCTCCCGTGCAATAGTTGCATTCTTTTTTGTTAGATGTTCATTTATATATACTTTTGTACCCTTTAGTTTTTTTGCCTGCATCATCACATTATTTCTGAGTTTCCTACTGACGAATCTGACAACTATTGTTGGTTTGATTTTATCCTGTCCAGGCAAGGTGTAACAAATTGACACATCCTCACTTTCAATATTAAAGTCTTTGTCCTGCAGAAATGACACAACTTGGTCTTCCAATGTTTGTAATTCTTGCTGTGAAGCGTCTTCTGTTGTTGCAGAACCCCTCACAGCTTTTGCAAAGGACTTTGGTTTTACTGTAAAACCAGTTATAATCAGATTCTCTTGTCTCGCATTTCTTTCCATGTCGTCAACTCTTTTTTCAAGTTCAATTATTTTATTGTCCTTTTCGCTTATTTGAAGTTTAAGTTGTTTTACTTCCTCAAACAATCCAATTAATAGTTCTTGTTTTGATGTCAGCTTGGCCAGTTCCATACTCATAAAATTCAAAGACTTTTTAATGTCCTCCATGTCTTCTACACTTAGTTCGTCCAAATGTTCTTTCTTTCCACGTTTGGATTTACTTGACATATTTAAGTGTACTAACGACCTGGAGATGTATACACAGCCAAGCAAAGCCGACGCCCGATCCCAAGTCACAGATGCCCTCTGGTGGTAGCCAGCGGCCACTGCACCCGAATCCAACGTCAGATGGAAAACAGACCAAAAGGCCCCAGGAGCCCGCAGAAACCTCCACCGAAGACCAGCCTCCAGCTGCACACAGACCCAACGGCCGCAGACCCGAACCTCGCCTTCCAAAGCAGGCACAACCCCGGCAGAAGGTCTCCACAGCAGCCCCACACCGTCGCTCCCCAGCTCGGCGGGGCCAACTCCACGGCCCGCCTTTCACCTCCTTCCTCTCTCTGTGTCCTCCTTTCTCACTGTCCTTCACTCAGTTTTCAGTATTTTGTCGTTTTTGAAGCAGTTTTAGCAGTTTTATCCAAAGTTAAGTCCACTTTTCAGTTAATTGTTTGCAGAGACACTCCCAAACATACTTGCATATTTCTTCCTGTCAACAGACTCGTTCCAGCCCAGACACCCAGAACTCGACACCAGAACTGGTTTCGACCCAATTACACTAAAGCGGGTCCTCACAATAAACCTGATTTAACTTGCTTATTTGTTGTTGTGGTGATTTTGGTCCAGCCCCTTTTTTTAAGGGGGGGGGGGGGGGGGGTTCGTTACATTTATATCCAGAAAAAAGAAGAATTACAGTTTTCAAAAGTAATATCTCAGAATGAAAGTAACAGAGCTACTCCAACATGCAGCCACCTTGAGCGGCGCAATTCTAGAAACTAGAAAAGACTAATGAATATACTTCAATAGAATCAGACCTTTTAAAGAACAATCTTTCATTGTTCAGTTCAAACTTTCCAAGTTTTTGTCACTGGATATTGCACCCAATAAATGTTGTTTTGGAAATTCTAACCATTTACTTTTACTAATACTCTTACTTTAAGTACATTTTATAAGAGAAATTAACTTTTGATACTTAAATACATAAAATGTCTGATACTTTGACTTTTACTTACTTAAGTAATAATTTTAAAGGAGACTTTAACTTTTACCAAAGTAATTTTATGGTAAGATACTTGTACTTTCACTGAAGTATCACTTCGAGGTATTTTATACAACACTGCATTTATGTCATGAATTTATGTCTGTTCATTGTTCATGAGCAGACATTGTCAGTGATAAAGTTCAACAAAACCAGATGCAGATCCTCTTATCATTGATGATCACTGCTTGGCTGTCCTTCACATATCCACCTCAGATATTCAGCCAGATATCAATGCACTTGTTCAAGTCCAAGACAGACTAGATTTTTTCTCACTGAATAAGTAAACTGAACTGAAAACATCAAAAGCACTTTTTGCTTTTTGTATAAAGTTTATCAGTTGCTTATCTTTAGCATACCGCAAAATACCTTTTCAATATATGTGAAGATTAACAAGTTAAGAATAAAAACAGTGAAACAGTGATGTTTTTGTTTTAAACTGTTTATTACTTTTATAAGATTATTTTCCTCTTCGACCTACACCACAATTAAAATATTTACATAAATATTTACAGAATATTTTTATACTTCTGATTACCAGTAGCAGCTTATCAAGATATATAATTTACTGCTTTTTACAATGGGAGAAAATTAATATTGAACAGAATTAAGTTCACAATATCATTGGTTCGACCCTCCAACACAGTTCAGATTTTTCATGTGGCCGCTTGTGGAAATGAATTGCCCACCCCTGTCCTATTCCCTCTGTTTATGGCTGGTTAGTACAACAGTCATTGGGTGGCAGGATGGTGAAATCTGATAATTCACAACTGTGAAGACTTTCATGGTATTGTGGGTGAGGAGGGAACCCAGTTTATGGGCCTTCGCCTTGCAAGTCAGCACCTGCAGCAGTTCCTGCCGGAAGCGACGACTGACCACACAATACAGCAGAAAGTTGGTGGTGGAGTTTAGGTTCTGCAGCATGTTGGCCACGTCTCCGGCCACATTGATAGGAACACTGTAGTCATTCCTGTCAAAGTTCTCGTTGTTGTATTTGGTCCTTAGAATGCAGTATGTGACAAAACGAGGCAGGCTGAGCACAACAAAGGACACAGAAACAGTGCCCAGCAGCAGAACGGTTCTCTTTAGTGTCCCTTTGGTACTTCTTCCAAACATAATGCTCCGCTCCTCCTTAGTAAAGAGGTTGCTGGCACGGCACAGATGGTACCCAATGAGGTAGTTAAAGATTGTGACCAACACAATGGGGATTCCTCCTGAAAGAAAAGTGGATATCCAGACTATAACAGTGGAATAGGTGTGATTGCGATATCGACACCTAGGTAATGTTGTATTCTCTCCCTCCACCGTTAGATTTACAGGTGTGACAATGTTGATCCAGCACATTGGCACAGACACCAAGTGAGACACAAGCACTATAGCAATGCAAGTCATTTTAGTGACCCAGGGCTGGGAGAAGTGCCGTTTGGCTGCTATGCTGCTGAGGACAAGGTAACGCTCGATGGTGAAAACCACCACAATCCAGGAGGAACTATACAGAGATCCATATTGCAGGAATCCCAGAATGCCACACCATGGGTGGGAATGCCAAAAGGGTTGCACAATCCAAAAGGTAAGAGTTAAGTCGACAAGAATAACCCAGACCAAGTAGAAGGTGTCCATAATGGCCAGACAGCTCAAATAGATGATGGCTGTGTTCGACATCCCACACTTACGGAAACAAATCATGTAGAAAGTGACAAGGTTTGCTGGAGAGAAAAACAAAAACACAAAGGTTGTCATTTGTCTCAACCCTCAACCATTTGCTTTCTTTACGATTTAACGATTTGAGCAGCATCAGCAAAGAAACATCCAATATTTCAACCTGCTAAACTTTTATTCTTTACTCTGTTTCCAACAACTAAACAAGTAGAAGTTTTGTTTGAAGGGTCCCAATGCAGCTACTTGAACCATGAGTGGCAGAAGTCTCTGAGGGTCTCACATGAATTTTCATGCGTTTACAGATTTAAGTAGACTATATAACAAAATTTCAAAAGATCTTTCCCTTCTAGCTTTACAGAGGAAATTTCGAGCTTACAGATACTGTACCTAACAAGGAAGTTTAGGTTTGCGCACAATGTACCAGAGGGGGATTTGAACAAAACTGTAAGTCTTACGCAGGTGTGACAATGTTGATCCAACACATTAGCACAAACACCAAGTGAGACACAAGAACTATAGCAACGCTATAGTGTGAATAGATAAATATTTATACTGGGTGGAAGGAGACATACGTGTCCATACTTTGATGTAGAATTTGTATATATATATATATTTTTTTTTTAGCCTTTATTTATACAGGTAGTCTCATTGAGCCACGAGAACTCATTTTCAAGAGAGACCTGTTTAGGGAGCACATGGTGGGGGTTAAGGGCCTTGCTCTAGGGCCCAGAGTGGGGCGAATGAGGGTTGGGGCAAGTGTGGGTGTTTCACCTACCCCACCCACAATTTTTGATGTTGTCGGAGCCGGGGCGTGAACCGGCGATCTTCTGATCACAGGCCCACCTCTCTAACCTCTGTGCCACCACTCCCCCTTTTGGGCATATGTACCCAAAATATGAGTTGTGGGTGGAAGAAAAGTTTGTCAAAGATCTGACAGTTTTAGATGGCTCAGACATTAGCGTGACATGAACTGACAGCTAAACAATCTGTTGAAAAAGCTGTATAAATCATCTAACTGAAACTATGAATGAATAAAAACCATAAGATACATCAAAAGGCCAGTTCAGGTACATAAAGTTGAACTTTTTGTGACTTGATTAAGCTTTGAAGAATGTCACTACTCTCAAGTCTGTTTTGAGTTGTAGACTAGAGCCCCAAACAGAGCCAGCTTTTTTCATGTTTCACTAAACTTCCATTAATTAGGCTCGAGCAGCGAAGCGCTGCGAAGGCCTATTGTAATCGCTCTGTTCAGGCCTGAGCTGCAATTTTTTCCACCAAATGAATTGGTGTTTTGGGGGCCTTAATATATCCCAAAAGTCACCAAATTTGGCGGACGTATCAGGACTGGTGAAAAATTATGTATTTTAAGGGCGTGGCAAAAATCGCAACAGAAATGGCTCAAAAGCGCCACCTAGAAATTTTCAAAATATCTTCCGCATTAACCTTAGTTTGTCATAGAAACATGAAATTTGGTACAGTTGTCCAATTCCCCAAGATGCACAGAAAACCCTCTGGCACCAACATTGTACAATAAACAGGAAGGCAGCCATTTTGGAATGCCGGCCCAATTTTCACACCTTTTTGGCGGTTTACAGCTTCCACATTTGAACAAACTCCTCCTAGGGATTTTGCTCAATCAGTTTCAAACTTGGCCATTTTGGTCAAAAGGCATGGGGGACACAAAGTTATCTAAATGGTTTGTTTCGTAGCATGCTGAAGGGGAGGGGCCAGACCTCAAAGTTTGACATCTCGCCATGAAAAATGAAATGCTAATAGCTCGTCGAAGAAAACTGTCTGAGACATCAAATCTTACGTGATTGATCCAAATCCAGTCCCCTGCAAGTCTGAATGGTCAAATCATGACAACAGTTAAGCCGCGCCCCTTGACAACAGGAAGTATAAAGTTTTACGTTGAATAATCCTTATCTGACCCCTGTTACCTGATCAGCATGATAGTGTGTCCACTGACCCAAGACATGTTGGTGTAATTTGCTTTCCAACACTGACAGTTTTGGGTGGAGCATGTGGGCGGCGCGGCGTGGTAAGACATAACGCCATCACCATATGCTTGGCTTTAAATTCCACAATTTTGAACCGAGGTACACAAAAATCAGTATGATAGATCTTTATCCACCCCTTGAACAGGAAGCCATGATAAGTGGCCAATAGCTTCTACAGCGCCCCCTAGAATGTTTTAAAACCTCAGACCCAAGCCATTTTTGGACCGATATTTCTGAAACTCGGTGAACATGTGTATCTTCTCAGGACCTATGAAAAAGTCTCTTGGAGCCCTGGTCCAAAAACAACAGGAAGTCGGCCATTTTGGGTCAAAGGGTCATTTTTGGGCGTTTCGAATAGCGAATTTTAACGAACTACTCCAAGGATTTTTGAAGGATTGCCTTCAAACTTGGTTGATATGCCCTTCAGACATTGGAGAGTAAAAGTTATCTAAAGCTTGCATTTTTGTATATGCTAAAGGGGCGTGGCCAGGCCTCAAACTTTCGCTTCACGCCATAAATTTCAAAACACTATAACTTTCACATTGAAATCATCATCATCATTTACTTTATTTCAGACACAATATAAGATCCATATAGAAAACATAAAAACATAAAAAACAGCAAAAACACACAATTAAAAAATTTTTCTATAGAGGCTCAAAAGCCAATGAGTCCAATAAAGTAGAAAAGTATAAAAGACCGAAATGAACGAAACTTGACATTGCTCATCCCTGTTGGATGCCCGACGATTCACTGTGGTCATATTTTGACGTCATCAAAGACCCGCTCCCTCGGAACAAGGTCTTTTTTTTTTTTTACTTGGAATGCTCCGTCTTGGACACCATTGACCTAATCAGGATGATCTTGTGTTAGAAGACAGATAATATGGTCAGACTTGATCTAAAGTGCAAACTGCTTTTGCTTGAGGATGTGGGCATGGCGGCGCGGCAAATTAAGAAGTTACACCGCCATTGCAATACGTTTGGCTCTAAATTGCACAGATTTCAGCTGAGGTGCACCAAAATCACTATGATCAACCATTATCCGCCCCTTGAACAGGTATCCATGATAAGCGGCCAATGGCATCCACAGTGCACCCTACATTATTCCTATAGTTATTTCTCAATGATACATCATCCGCTCTGAACCAGATTTATTGTGCGTCATCAGTGAGAACTTGGACACACATTGATATTGTGGTTTAACAAGTGACTTCAGTGCACCCCCTAGATTATTCCAACAGTTAGATCTCAGTGATACATCAATCAATCTTCAACAGATTTTTGGTGCATCATCAGTGAACACTTCTAGACACATTGATATTGTTGTTTAACTTTTCACTCAAGTGCGCCCCCTACATTATTCAAACTCATATCTCAGTGATACATTGTCCGATCTGCACAAGATTTAATGTGCGGGATCAGTGAGCACTTCCAGACACATTTGGTTGTTATTTAACATTTGACTCCAGTGCGCCTCCTAGATTCTTACTACTGTTATTTCTCAGTGATACATCAACCAATCTGCACCAGATTTATAGTGCATCATCAGTGAACACTTCTAGACACATTCATTTTTATGGTTTAACATATAATTCCAGTGCGCCCCCTAGATTATTCCAACAGTTAGATCTCAGTGATACATCAACCGATCTGCGCCAGATTTATTGTGCATAATAGAAGATGACACAGGAGTGGATTTTCACTCCTGTCCTGTCCTGGTCCCACAGAAAAAAAACCTGTCCTGTCCCAATCCAATCCAGACCAGAGTAAAAAAAAATCCTATCCTGTCCCTCTCCTGGTAGCATGACTCCTGCTCCTGTTTTTTTTTTAATTTTCATTTATTTTTTAGGAAATACATTGAATTTGATTTGATCTTCTACCCATTCCTGTTTAAATTACTTTGTGTTCTGCAGTTTTATTTAAAAAGATATGGCAACAGGAACAGTTCATCTGTGGTGAAATAGAGACATTTATTTTCTTAATCCAAACAAAAACCTTCAGTAAATGTCATAAAACAATAATCCATGGCCTGTAGTCCTTATAATTTTTTTACGGAGGATCAGCTGCTGAGTCTGTTTCTGGCTCTTTTGAAGGTCAGTTCCAGTAAAAACAAAAATCTAAACCAGTCCATGGGTCACACCATGTCTACCTTAGATGAAAGAACCCAAACAGAACAAGTTGCATTTTACTAATTTATTGAACAACTGTTTCCTTTAAACAGTGACATCACTGTCATGTTTTAAATTGTTTAAACAAACAAACAAAAAAAGAAAAATAATGTACCAAGCAGATTATTATACATTGGACGACGTCCTCAAGAAGTTCAGTGTATGTGGTCGAGGTAACGAGCTCGTTTGGGTGAAGCATGATGTCGTGCATCTTCCCAGACTTCAGAGCTTCATTTACAGACTGGACCATTGCAGGTCTGGTGTTCCACCTCATCTCTCCACAGCTTCAGTGACCAGTCCAGAGCCTTGTGGAACCTAAAAGTGAAAGAAGACAGTGCACGAGTCAAAATAGGGTTACAGTGACTATAAATTACAATTTGAAAAAAAAAAAAGGGCTTCTAGAATCGCCCCTGGTGTGAAGAAATGAACTGAGAAAAATCAACTCTTGGACTAAAATTTAACACAACATAATTGTACACATCATATCTTAAATCTAACACTAAATCAATTATTATAATATATATGTAACCAGTCTTTCATATAAAAACTGGGATATTTTTACCGGAGAATGCTTTCACTAATGAGTTTGTTGTTGTACTGGCATGGTTACCGCCGACAGTAACTATTTACATAATAAAGTGAAGGTTATTCACATTTTTCCTCGATTCCAGTATCCAGCAGGACGTCACAATATAAAAATAGGAACATTTTTACCGGAGAATGCGTGCACTTTAACCAGGAAGAGTTCAGGGTTTTTTTACATTACAAACAGCAACAGATAATGAAGATTTTAACCTAAAAACCCACATAAAAAAGCAGACCATAATTTTTTAATTAAAAGGGACAAGGTGGAGAAAAATGCGCTGTTTGAGTCTGT